CTGCCCTGATAGGGAATTGAAGTGTGACGTCCTGGTTCATAGGTCGACACTCAACCACTGAGCCACGCTGTCTGGGCAAGGGCAGAGAGTGTTTAGCTCCCCATCAGTTCCTGGGGGTCTGGTACAAGGGTTACCCTGCCTTTACCCTAAAGTCTCATGTGGGGACCCAGTCTGCCCTGGGGTTTCCCAGGTGTCAGACACTCTGACCTGTGCTAGCCAGTCCTGCCCATCCAGCTGCCCCAGCCCCTGCTTGGCTTGGGCAGTAGAGCATAGCAGTTGGGAGAAGAGGAGAAACAGGGCATGTTTAAGCCCTTGGCCCCAGAGCTGCACCTTAAAGGGAGAGAAATTCCTTTGTCTCTGTTAGATTGGAGGAAGGGAGAACTGGAAGGACCAGTCTGTCTCCAGATAAAAAATAATGAATACCTCATAGAGTAGTAATAACACTTAGAGTGTGGAAGAGTAAAAAAAAAAAAAATTTTAAGGGTTTTTTTCCCCCTTTTTATTATGAAAAATTTCAAACATGCAAAAGTATAACACTTAGAGTGTGGAAGAGTAAAAAAAAAATTTTAAGGGTTTTTTCCCCCTTTTATTATGAAAAATTTCAAACATGCAAAAGCGCAAAAAGAATATTAAAATGAATACATCTATACATATTACCTAGATTTAACAATTACTGTTTAAGATCCAGGCCATAGTTAAGTGTCCGCCCTTAGCTAAGGCAAGTTCCTTCCAGCACTGTGAACCAGGATCCAGTCAAGGGCCATCCCTTGCAGTTGGTTGTCTCTTAAGTCTCTCTTGACAACCCCCTCCCTTTCCTTCTGCCCTGACAGAGATTTGTGAAAGAGACCAGACCGGTTGCCCTGCAGAATGTCTATTTTAAGCTGGAATGTTGGCTTCCCTGTGGCGGTGCCCGTGTTCCTCTGACCCTTGTGTTACCTCAGGGTGGTAGGTCTGAGAGGCTTAGATAGGTCAGGCCACCAGGGCTCAGGGACAGATCATCCAGGGGAAGCAGGAATCAAGGATGATTCTAGATCTCTGTTGGAGCAACAGAGGTGATGCCGAGATGGGGAGCTCAAGGCGGGTGGAGACGCTCTCAGGCTGAGGCAGGCAGCTTTTCAGTGTGTCGGAGACATCCAGGTTGGATTGCTGAACCTGGGGATGCAGTTGTGAGCTGTTAACCTAATGAGGTCAGTTGAGCTTTCCCAGGACAGTGGAGTGAGAAGCAGACATGAGACACCAAAGCACCGAGGAGATGGCAGAGGAAGAGGAGCGTGGGCCCCACGAGCAGAGACGTGGCAGATAGAGGAAGAGAAAGCTGACCGAGAGGCCATGTCCGAGGCAGTACGGGAGGGAGAGGGTTGTGAGGACTAAGTACCAGGGAGAGTCAGGCCAGACAAGGACCGGATTTGTCCGAAAGGAAGTTGTGGGAGGCCTGGCCTGAGCAGTGGGCTGGATGTTGAGTGAGTGCATGGCGAGACAGTGGGGCACACACACCCCTTCAAGTAGTCGGCTTTGAAAAGGAGGAAGGGAAAGTTGGGTCCAAAGGCCTTCTTTCTCTTTTCAAGATGGAGAGACCTTGTCCGGCCCCAGTTTAGCTCAGTGCGGGGGGCGAGCATGGGGGTGTTTGAGCGTCAAGCCAGGAACCAAGAGCCCACTGACTCCCAGTCAGGGCATATGCCCGAGTTGTGGGCCCGATCCCCTCTGGGGCGCACGCAGGAGGCAGCCGAATGCTGATGTTTCTCTCTCATCAATGTTTCTATCTCTCGATCCCTCTTCCTTCCTCCCTCTCTAAAATAATCAATAATAAAAAAAAAAAAGATGGCCGAAACCGGTTTGGCCAGTGGATAGATGTTTCTCCCCCATCAATGTTTCTATCTCCCGATCCCTCTCCCTTCCTCCCTCTCTAAAATAATCAATAAAAAAAAAAAAGATGGAGAGACCTTGAATTTGCTGAAATGCCAAAGGGACAAAGGTGGAAGGATTGGAGATTCGAGGTGAGGCAGCCTTTGAGCAAGTGAGAGGCAATGAGGTTGGCTGGCCATTGGGTTGGCAGGGACAGGAGGACCCTGAGCTCCCCATTAGGGGAGGGAGAAGGAATGGTGGCTACAGGTTCAGATACATTTGAGGGAGTGGGCAGGGTCCGCCGCCATCACATCTTCCCACCCCCGAGACTGCCATCACCACAGCCTTTGCTTGACAACTTCCTTGGCGACCATTTGCGACTCCTCCCAGCTTAGTAGCCGGAGAGCTGCCAGCCTTACTCAGAGCACAGGGACTGGGAGCCATGAGGGGCCTCCACCCAGGAGCAGGCTAAGCAGGCAGCCCCGTGAAGTCACCCAAAGGCTCGGGCAGAGTCCAGAGCCAAGGGCGAGCCATCAAGACCCAAAGGCAGAAATGCAGAAGCGGGGAGCAGAGCCTGCCCTCTTTCCCATGTCCTGTGGGTGTGGGAACTCCGGCTGCTGCTGGCTATTTCACAGAAACCAGCCTGTGAGCGGGAGAGAGTGACAGCCCAATCTCTGGATAAAGAAACCGAGGCCCAATTGCAGGCTCCATCCCGGCCCCTGTTGGGGTGTGTGCGGGAGGCAACCAATCTCTCTCTCTCTCTCTCCCTCCCTCTCCCTTCTACTCTCTCTAAAAATCAATGGAAAAATATCCTCGGGTGAGGATGAACAATAATAGAAAAAAAAGAAAGAAAGAAACGGAGCCCCAGAGATTCAAGAGGTTGCCCAGAGAGAAGCCGAGGCCGAGAACACACAAGTTTCTGGACTCCTGCTCCTCCCCTCTTTCCTTTTAATTGAATGAAGCCTCTGCCCCAAACCCAGGCGGAAAGCCTCGCCGCGGGCCATTGGGTTTGGAATCTCGTGCTACCTGCATGCGATCAGATTCCACGGAGCCCCCTGGGCCTTGACACAACACGCCTTGCCCAGGCCCCTGCCCAGGCGGGTGACATCAGACTCTCGGGCTTGTGTGGGTCCCCGGGCGTTCTGAGGCTGGAGGGCCCGGATCCTGCGGGCGACCCAGCCTCCCCACTGCACACGGGTGGAGCTGGGGTGGATACCGAGTGAGGCCGGACTCTGCCCGGGAGCAGGTGTGCTCAGGGGAGGGACAGTTCTGTGCACTCGGCTAAGCTTCCAGCGGGAAAGATCACCATTCATCCTAACGCTCCCTCCGCTCGGCCCAGATGGCGCAGAGCAGGCTCAGTCAGCAGAGCAGGTCCTGTCCCCTCCCCAGTCGAGGGTTTGTGGGTCTTTCTTTTGCCTCTTACCCCAGAGACCTGCTAGGATTTTCTGGTTGCACCTGCTCTAGTTGCCCCAACCCCCCCGGGCGGGTTTTGGAGAGAGGGGTGAGCCCAGAGGGCTGGAGAGATGGATGATGTGCCGTTGGCTTGTTCTGTCCCCTCCCCCACCATGCACCTCTCAAGGCTTGAGGGTGTGGTTGAGAAAAGAGGACCCCACTGGGGAACCACTGTGGTCATCACCTTTTCTTGCTGGGGGAGGAGAAGCCCAGGCAAGAGGCCTGAGGAGCCAACCTCCGTCATCGAGAGCAGCCAGAGCTGTGTGGGTTTGGCAAGTGGCTGTAGTGTGGGGCCAGGGCCCGCTCGCTGGGGGACCCCGCCGTGCAGGCCAGGCCTCTTACCGTGGGAAGCAGCAGGTGGAGTTCTGGCTACCTTTCGTGTGGTCCCAGCCCCCTCTACTGTCACTCCAGGTTCCTGCCACATGGAGACCCTGCTTCCCAATTCCCCCTGCAGGACGGAGCCGGAGGCCTGGGTTCCCACTCCTGCCCTCCTCTGCTCTCTCCCCTACCGGACCCCAGCCCCTCCCTGGTGCCTCAGAGTTTCTGGCTGCTCTGGAATTTACAGCTGTTTCCATCTCCTGGGCGTGGCTCCATAACTCTTGTTGACCTGTGTGTGTGTGTGTGTGTGTGTGTGTGTGTGTGTCAGGGTGGGGTACTGTAGTGTGTCATGTGTGTGTGACACATGTGAGGACTTCAGGCTCTCGGGGAAGGATTAGTCTACTTCTGGGGTTCTGAGCCGGGGCACAGGAGACTGTCCAGGAGCTTTTGGGGTAGAGTAGAGCATAGACCCCAGACTTGCTCTGGATGTGGTTCCCCAAGTGTCCTAGACCCCAAATCCATACCACACAGGGTTTACTTGGGTGTCTCTGCGCTGAGCCCATTGTGGGTGCAGGGGAGGAGAGGCCTGGGGAACATGGGAGAAGGGAGAGCCAGGTCTGGGGGCAGGAAGATGACGGAAATGGGAGCGTAAGAGATGGGAAGTCTGGGACCCAGGGTGGGAGGGTGGGGGTCAGGGCCTAAACTGGGACCTGAACAGCCCCTAGGAGACAGCCTGAAGGCGGGCAGTTGGGCAGGCAGGGTGCTGCCTGGCACTTGGGGCTGGGGAGGAAGCACCCCTGAGGGGATTAGTGAAAACAAAATGGTCCCCAAGGGGTGGGAGGAGGGGCTGCTGCTTCTCACTGGGGACGTGCTGTGTCCGCTGTGCATGAGAGGGTCAAGGGCGGACAGGCCAGGAGGAAGCTCCTAGGGTAGGGCTCTGGAGCTGGTTCCTGTCCCCTTCTCCTGGGGTTGGGAGAGTGGGGGTGGGGCACAGGCAAGCTTGTTTATGTAGGTGGACACGTGGCGGAGGCGGCACATGCCTCGAGGAGGCAGACCAAGGCGGTCAGGCGGGTAGATGGTGATGTGGTCAGATCCTTCCCGCCCTCCACGTGCTGGAAACCCATCCAGAGACCGGGTTCTTCTGATACCACATCTGCCCCTCCCCCTTCCTCTTTGAGACACCCACCCGCACAAAGCTTCCTCTTTCCCATCACACCCTCCCTGGGCCTTGAGGGAGCTGATGGTCACTCATTGTCCTGCCTGTGCCAGCTCAGGCCCCAGCACCCAGCCGCCCCAGGCTTGTCCCCATCTGTGAAGCCTCCCCCTCCCCCACCATTGCTCCCATGCGCCCTCTGTGGAGCCCGTTCCGTGCCTGTGTCTGGGCCTAGGAGTCAGAACTCATCAGTAATCAGAGCTGAGTGAGGCAGCCAGCGGTGTCCCTGGACACAAAAATCTCCCCATTCTTCCCCCTGCCCCCCCACCCTACACACACATACACACCCGGCCTCAGGCAGCCTGCCTCATGCAGCACTTCCGCAGCCCTGACAGGAAATGGGCTGGAGGCTCAGCCTCCCACCATCTCAAGGCCACTTCTTGTTTCCCTTTTGCCCTGTGCCAGCCGGGGTTGTGCCCCGTGGCTCCACCCCCAAAGCTTCCCAGGGCTCCATCCCAGCAGCTCGGAGGGGACAGGATGGTGGACGTGATTGCCAAACTGACCAGGAGGCCGAGCCGGGCCCTTCGGGTGCAGGTAGGGGACCTTGGCATCGGGGGCTGAACCTGGCCACCAATGGGGATAGCA